CCGAACGAAGAACGGAACTGTAATCGACTAAAAGTTATCTTTCAAAATGGAACATTTTCTTTTCTTCAGTCTGATATCCATCAATGAAACGAACACAGTAGGAAGCGTAAAACATTGAATCAAGTAAAGTTCATCAAAATATGGGAATACTCTTAACGTCTTACCTGTCCATCGGATGAAATATGAATATTGTCGGATAGGTATAGAGGTGAATCACCCCTGTACCAAATAATTTCAGGTTTCGGGTCCGCATCAACAGCGCAATCCATGGTTACAGTCTCACTTTCTCTCACTTCATATATCGCATCACCCTCACGATGGAATCGTGGAGGACCTGAGAATATACAGTACGAATGAATTCCATTATCGCTTTCATAATAAGTGAAGTTTATTTCAGGACACAATACGAATCGACAGTAAAAAAATACAACAAAAACATTCTAACTGCAATCATCGACTGTCGAAATTTTCATTGGATAAATGCAATCGACGGACATTAGTTGACCTTTTAGTCTCGGCAGATCGATATACGAAATTTGCCTTCCAATCTCAATTCATGGCAATAGAAAGTTACCAACCTATAACTTCAAGTTCGTAATCGGTATTCAAGGAGCCGGCTTCATTCTGCGCAACGCACGTATATCGACCCGCATCAGCCTCCTGAGGATACATTTCACAATCAGATTGAATAATAAATGAATTAAATGTTCTGCTATTAGACGACTTATTGGTACTGAACCCATCCATCATCCATTTCGCTTACTTCATACGATGTTAAATAGAAGTAATTAAACGAGTGTGCGGTTTTTGGTCGGTGAAGAGGCTAACCTGAACCGATTTGATGCTCAACCCTCCATCAGCTGTTGGCGTGAAACGATCACTACGAATGAACTGACCATTCATAAGCCACTGGATCTGAAGTAAGAGATTCGAGCGAATATAACCAATTCACTTTGCTGCACAAGATCAAATTGCCTAATGTGTTCATCAAAGATGGGCACGCCAATCCGCTAATGACGGATCAGCGATAGCGCGCTATTGTGTTCAAATAGCCGAATTTTCCAGCGATGGCGGATTTTTCTTAGCGAATCAAACATTTTCTTGTCAGCGGCACTGACGTTTTTCGTCAGCGTGTTCATCAGTTCTCATGAATTGCTCATCACTGACGTTCACCAATTTTCTATTATTATTGAAATGAACGCAGGTTCGTTTGCTCATTCTCATCCGTTCGACATACGTCAAATTCGTTGAACACTTTTTACCTTCGGTTTCGGATTGCCTCTAATTGGGCACTGAAGAGTAATATCGTGATTTTGAACAACTTTCGGAGTCTGATCGATCTGCTCGTCGATATGAGGACGTGTCAACACCGTTACCGTGAAACTTGCTTCCGATTCGCCGGCAAGGTTCTTCGCAACACATGAATAGCTTCCAGCATCAGCCCTGAGGTATCGTTCCGTTAAATTAAACGACAACAAATCATTCATAAAAGAACGAAAGCCAACGAATGGGAAGTGCCTCAATATGAACCTCTTTGCTTTCAAAATCATCAGCGTTTCCCCACGAGGACTGAGTATAAGATTTTTCATATCATCAATTGATCTTCCACCACGTAGCCAACTGAAAGATTTCAAGCGCTTAGAAATTCTCTCGAAAAAAAAACTTTAATTGCATCAAAAAGGGACGAAATCATGGAGGATTAATTCGAGAAGTCGATTATATCGTGACAGATTCAAAACTTGAAGAAACCATGTGCACCGTAATGAGAAAAAGAGATAGATAGAAATGTTTTAGCAGATAATTATTTCCCAACCGATTCATATCCGAATCCTACACCAATCAAATTTTGAAAGAGTTCGAACACAACTAGAACTGGACTTTAACGGAAAAAAAAGAAGAAAAAGTCATTTCCCGCAAAGTTATACTTCCCCAAAACCACCGAGCGACGCCGAAAACGGCTGATCGGACGGTGGCCTCGGTAAAGCGAGTTTCGGTGGCTACCGAACAGCGAGTATTTCTTTCCATTCTTAAATGCTTGAGATGGCGTTGGTAGCCCTGAATTTTGGTTTGTGGCCACGGAAAACCAAATTT